TGTGAGTACTGCTCCCTAACTAGGCTAGGGTCAGGAAGGGCACAGTAAAGCTCATCCTACCTGAAGGGCATAGAACTGGAAATGATACAATAAAAGAGGAAATTCTTAAATTTAAAGGATAAACCTATATATCAATGACAAAACACTTTCAGAAACATCGCTTCATTTGAATCTCTCATAATAGTTGATACTACCTTCCCTCCTCCTTTTTTTAATAGATGAGTAAACTGAGGCACATAGAAGAGAAATGATTCTCTAAGGTCACAGAGGTAATACTTGTAGCCAGGCCCCTGAGCCCAAATTCTGTGCTCTCTGCTCTCCAGCAGGTACACTCAGGAATCTTGATTCAGATAAGGATGCCAGATAGAGGCAGGTAAGTTTAACAGTCGTTCCCTATCATCATCCTAACAGATTAGCGAGATTTAACCAAATAGTTTTGGTTTCATTTTATAATCTCCTATGAATCTATCCTCTAACAACATAAATCTCTTACAATATTTGCTTTTGTTGTATATGTTCTATATGTTTACTCTTCTTCTGTTAAAAAGTGCTATTTTTGCTTTGTCCTAAAACTATTGCTTTAAAATGTTAAAGTTGTCCTTAGTTCTTATGCTCTGGGATTTAATAAGTTCATATTTTTATACTAGGTTTGCATTATCTTATACATCTTAATCATATTGCCCCCTCAGCCTGTGTCTTTCTTTCCAGAATGAAAAGTTCTAATTCTTTTATCATCACCCACAAAGAATGCTCTCTACCCTCTTGATCAACTTACATGTCCTTCTCTAGACCTTGTCTGGCTCTGTAATTCTTTGAGGTACATCAGATCATTGGGATCCCATCACTCTGTCTATTCTTCTGTATAAAAGAGCACAATGACTTTAGCTAAAATGTAAAAATATTTGAAGGACCATTTTAAAAATCAAACAATTCTTTTGCTCCATATCAGCCCAGCATATGCTGAAAAAAATATACATTTTTTTGCTCCAATAAAATGAAATCAACTCTGAAATGAATTTAAATACACTGGTAAAAGTCAACCTTGTAATCTATTATAAAAATAACTCGCAAAGCACTTTTACATACCTTATCTCATTTGACCCTCACATGAACCACACAAGGTAGAGAAAACATGTGATCCTTATTTTTCACATGAAAAAAGTGAAAAAGGTAACTAGACCAAGATCAAAGAGCTAGAATTAGAGCCCCAGTCCCTGGCCCTTCATTAAGAGGATGGTGCTTTTGCAACTGCGCAATGCATCCTTCCTTGTATTCACTTGGCACTTATTTTAAATCACCAAACTACCCCTTCTAAGACTTTTAGTGGTAAATAGCACAGTTATGAAATATTCCATGGTTCTATTGAAAGGAAACATGTTCAAGGCTAGTCTATACCCTACTCTTTTCTCACTCTACACACTCTCCATGGATAATCTCAGCCACACCACAGGTATCAATATTACCTTCATGCAAATGATTCCCAAAGTTGTATCTCTAGGCCACACCTCTCTTCTGAGCCCCACACAGGTATTTAACATATCCCGTAAATCTCAATATTTACAAAACTTAACCTTTTGCCCCATCATAGCCCCTCTCCACTGCCAAAACCCAATTTTGATGTCCCTCTTCTCAAACATCTAGGAGCTAGGAGTCATCTTGACATTTCCCTCTCCTTTCCTCCTCCTTATCTCTATATCCAATTTAACATCAAGTCCTTTCATTTTCATCTCCTGCATAGCTCTCCCTTCTGTCCATTTATCTCCTTCCCCATCACTACCACCTTAGTCCAAGATACAACCATCTTTCATTTGGACTTTAATGAACTCCTAGCTGTCCTTTCCTCTCCAATCCCTTCTCCCCACTATAGTTGAAGGGATTCCAAAAGGCTATTCTGGTCGTGCTGCCCCTGTTCCCCCTCTGCTTACAGCACTTCAATGGCACCCCTTGCTTTTAGGGTAAAGTCAAAACTCCCGTAACTTGTTTGCACATCCCTGCCTAACCTGGTCCCCACTGCCAGCCTCATCTCACAACAGTTGCCTTCACTTCTCAAGCTTCAGCCCCACCAGCCTTCTTTCAGCTCCCTTTATTCACTGTGCTTTCACTACCCACAGGGTCCGGTAATATTCTTCCCTTTCTTCCATATCTAAATCGCTAGGATTAAATTCCTAGAAGCTTCCATCTTCAGATAGAGGCTCAAAGGTTTTTCCTCAGGGAATGTTTCTTGACCTTCCTGAGTTGAATTCCTCCATTAGACCTCGGATGGCATCAGTTTAGCATGATTTTGTATATTTGATTAATGTCTGTCTCCCCCACTAGATTTTTAAACTTTTGCTCACATAGAGGCACATTGATAAATGCTTATGTGAATAAGTTCACTAATAAGGAAATGATTATGTATTATATACTTCCTCACTATGGAATACTAAGCAGCTGCTAAAAAGAGATAACTCTTTATACTAATATGAATGTCTATATTTTTAATTTATAACAGCACATTACAGAACAGTATGCATACTATTTTTAAAGCTTATATATGTATATCTTTATTTTTAAAAAATCTCCGTTTATGGGGGGTTGTGGGGGCTGTATTTAAAAAGGTTTGCAAGACTCAAGACTAACAACAAATTGCTTGCAGTACTTTCCCTGGAGAATGGAAATGAGACAAGAAAGAGGAAAAATAGGATAACAATTTCTACTTATAAATTTCTGGGTTGTTTGACTTTTTCCAGTGACCATATGGTATCGTTGTAATTATTTTAACAATGCCATTTTTAAAATGATGATGTAGTTCACCAAAGTTCAAGAAAATGACCGTTTTTAAATACAGAGAGAAAGAAGTCACTTTTTACATGATTCCTCAACAAGGATACAGTTCTAGAAACAAGTTAATTTCCAAGTCAGACCTTCAATCTACCAATAAGCTCTGATGAAGAAGAAAAATGGAAGAGAACAAATGGAAAGGCCAGAATTTGTTTATTTAATTAGGTCTTCCCCTCACATCACTTTTACAAACAAAAGAGATTTGAAAAGTCATTGCTGGCCTGGCGCGGTGGCTCACACCTGTAATCCTAGCACTTTGGGAGGCTAGGATTGATCACTTGAGGTCAGGAGTTCAAGACCAGCCTGGCCAACATGGTGAAACCCTGTCTCTACTAAAAATACAAAATTTATCCAGGCGTGGTGGTGTGCACCTGTAGTCCCAGCTACTCAGGAGGCTGAGGCAGGAGAGTCTCTTGAACCTGGGAGGCGGAGGTTGAAGTGAGCTGCAATCATGCCACTGCACTCCAGCCTGGGTGACAGAGTGAGACTCCATCTCAAGAAAAGAAAAAAACAGTCATTGCTCCTTGATTCCTTTATATAAACTTGGAAAAAAAAATAAGAAAACGAAATAATAGAATGAATTTTTCTTAGTTTACTCCAATTGTTTTAAATTAAATACAATTGAATACATGAAGGCACTTCACTATCCTTTGCTTCTCAAATAACAGCCCTTATTATCTTTACCATAACTCAAACAGAAAAGGTCGTTTTCTAAATTCACACAGATTACAGAGGAAGGAGCAGGGACAAATATACTGGTGGTGCATAAATAGGATCATTTCACAGCTAATGGCAGAAAACCTCGTTTTGGTTTGGAGAGAAGTATGTGCAGGTGGAGAGACCCACAGTTACTGAAAAAGGGGAGGTGGGCGTGTGGGCATGATTCTTCCAGCAGCAGCCTACGAGGAAGAGCTGGGAAAAGTCTGTGAATATAGAATAAATACTGTCACTTGGAGCTGCATTGATTCTTTTTTCAGACTAACTAATGGCTCAGATGGTAGAATAACCAAACGATGACTAAAATATGACTCAAATGCTTTCAAATCAAATCACTCCAATGAAACAGGAACAGAGGCAAGCAGAGAACAGGTCATTAGGGGTTCTAACCAAAACTTGTTAAATCGGAAAAAACTCATTCTCCTAAATGACTGTCTCTTTCTATTTAAGTCATTTTGATGTTAGTGAACTGTGGACAATAGATCTTTATTATTTGTGACACCTACTGATCAGCTCTCAGCAGCGGAAAAGGCAGCTCCTGGCTGGGCTCATACACTTTTCCCAATCCTGATTTGTCTTCTCTCCCACGATCTATCCAGCGTGTCTTCAGTTATGCCAAAGGGCGTTAGAAAACTCTAAAATACGGCTCAAACTTTACTTTCTTAGTATTTTTGAAAACCAACTTTCATTTAAATATAAAAGTAGTTCGTATTAAGATGAAATGGGGTTGGGGGAAGGGAGGTGAGAAGAAGCCTATTATGAAATGGAATCACAGGGCACGAAGCTCCCAGAAGGCTGAAACACACCCGTTGAGATTCGGAAGAGGCGGCAGCAAGTGTGCTGGCCCTCATGGAGGCATCACATGGCCCACAACACACACGTGGGTGATTTCCCTGACATCTTTCTCCTCCCCCTTCCTTCTGCTAATTTCTCCGTTTCAAATTCTTTCCTCAAATGTTAATCCTATTTTATCATTCTATTCTTCAAAAAACATATATTTTTTTCTAAACAAAGCCTCTTACCACATTTATTGGAAGCGGGTTTCATCAAGAATAAGTGGAAGTACCCACATCTCCCTGTTGTGTCAGGTGCCTGTTTTTATCCTCGTGTCACCTCCTCCTTTCTGAGAATTATCACTCATGCAGTAGGAGGAATACAGCACAATGCTTAGCACCCAGCCAAAGTACAGGACCTCTCCCAACAAACCAGGACGCCGGCAGAGACTGGAGCTGACTCCAACCTAAGCTAGGCACACTACACACACTCCCTGTTCTCCTCCCTGAATGGATTCACTTAGAAAAGAGGATAACATGATTTTTTTAAAACTTCTTTTATTATTGTAAGACATACATGAAATTTATCATTTTTACCATTTTTAAGTGTACACAGTTGAGCAGTACTAAGTACCTTCCCACTGTTGCACAACCATAACCATCACACACCTCCAAAACTTTCCATCTTCCCAAACGGAAACACTGTACCATTAAACAATAATTCTCTGTTCTCCCCTCCCACCTTGCAACCAACATTCTACATGTTGCATATTGAGTATCCTTTATCCAAAATTCTTGAGACCAGAAGTGTTTTAGACTTCAGATTTTTTCAGAGTTTGGAATATTCGCATTATGCCAGTTGAGCATCCCAAATCCAAAAATCCAAAATCTGAAATGCTCCGATGAGCATTTTCTTTGAGCATCATGTCAGCATTCAAAAAGTTTCAGATTTTGGAGCGTTTCCCATTTCAGATTTTGGATGTCAACCTGTACTTTCTGTTTCTATGAATTTCACTATTCTAGGTACTTCATATAAGTGGAATCATATAGTATTTGTCCTTTTCTGTCTGGCTTATTTCACATATAATGTCTTCCAGGTTCATCATATTGTAGTACATGTCAGAATTTCATTCCTTTTTAAGGCTGAATAATATTCCATTATGTGTATACCACATTTTGTTTATCCATTCATCCATCGATAGACATTTGGGTGTTTCCAAAGCAACATATTCTTAATTTAATCCCACATTTTAAAACTTACAGGTAATTTAAATTCAATTCAACTTACTGTTTACTAAGGGTAACTCACTATGGGAAGTACTGTGGGAAATACAAGGGTAAATCAGACATGGTGCCTGCTTTCGAGGAACTTATGATACACTGGGAAAAGAGAAGAGAAAGAAGTAGAAGTAACCAGCATTTGCTAATTGCTTGCCATATGCCAGGTGCTTTACCCAATCACTGCGTGTATAGCTCCCAATGACTCTCTAAGTTAGATATTGTAATATCTACTTTATATAGGGAGAAGAATGAAGGCACTGAGACCTTAAGTAACCACCTCCAAAGCTAGGATTTAAACTCATATCTTGGATTCAGAGGCCTGTGTTCACTCCACTACACATGTCGTTCTCTATGATTCAAGGCAGAATGTGACAAATCCTGGGGGAAGCTACAGGAAGGTACAAGAGGAAGAGAAGAGACTGCTCCTTGCCTAAGGGTAAAGGCACATGACAAAGGCAGGTCTTAGAGGTCAGGAAGGCTTACGTTTGACAGAGATGGAGGGTGGAAAAAATTGCACAAGCAGGGCAAAATGAGGGAGGCAGGAAAGTTCAGTACATACTTAAGGCTGGAAAGTGGTGCGGGGAAAAATCACAGTCATAATGAAATGCTAGCTCAAGGGGTCTGAACTCCACCATCAGGCAATGGTCAGCCACTGTAGTTTTCTGAAATGGGCCATAGTCAGAGCTATGCTTCGGGAAGATTACCATGGCAATAATGCATCACAAGGATGGAGGAGGTGAGAGTAGTTTAAAGGTAGGAAAAGCAGTTAGAAGGTCACTGGTGATAGCAGTTCAGGCTTAATTAGTCAGAATGGAGACGAGGATATGGACATGAGAGATATCTTAGAGGTGGGAATGACAGAACTCGGCAATCACTGCATTTCATGATGCATTGAGTAGACTGACCATATACCCTGGTTTGTCTGGGATATGTTTTCCTGATATAATTACTAATGGCACCCTTTTACTCTCAAAAAGGTTTGGACAATAAACTATATAATCATACTAGTTAGGAGTTGATTCTGTTGTAACAGAATCAGAGGTGACTCCAAGATTTTAAACCTGGATTAGTAAGGAAAGTGGTAACACCTTTGGAAACACAGAAGGGAAATCAGGTTTTGGGGAAAGATGTGGAGTTTTGATCTGGACATGTTAACTTTGCTGCTCAGGTGAGGATTTATTTAACAGCGAGAAGCACCTTGCCCATGGATTTCCCCTGTTTCACATGAAGGAAGGCATCATTGACCTAAAACAAAATGCAAAAGAATGTGGTCAGATTTGCATATATGGATATTTCAACAAACATTTGATACAGTATCAATTAATAAAATAACTAAAGTATCAAGATGTATCTCCAGTGAACCATAAATAACTATGCAACACTAACTAGTTATCACAAATGCAAAGGAAAACAATAACATTGAAGAATAACCTCAGTATTTCTCTCTGTCTAAATGTATAATTATCAGTGTTGTCAGATAAATGCCAGATGGTAAAAAGCCCTAGGCCTGTCATACGCCACTGTAATAGAGCTTTGTTTTCCAGCTTTTGAAAGAATGGAGCCACTGGCAGAAGAATCCGTATTTTTATGATTAATAATTTTTGTTTTTTTATTAAAATTATCCTACTTCCTATGTAACTGAAATTGTAATCTATCTTGAATCTTTGTTAAGGAAGTACAAGGTTACAAAACATATATTTAAAAGTAGCTACAGTAATCAAGGCAGTGTGATATTGGTGAAAGAATAGACAAACAGATCAATGGAATAGAATAGAGAGCCCAAAAATAGACGCATACAAATAGTTAACTGATCTTTGACAAAAGGGCAAAGCAATTCAGTGGAGACAGAACAGTCAACCAATGGTGCTGGAAAAACTGGATAGCCACATGCAAAAATATGAATCTAGATACAGACCTTACACTCTTCACAAAAACCACCTCAAAATGGATCATAGACCTTAAATGTAAAATGCAAAACTATAAAACTTCCAGAAGAAAATATAGGGAAAAATCTAGGTCACCTTGGTTTAGCAATGCGTTTTTAGATATAGCACCAAAAAAGCACAATCCATGAAAAAAAAAAAAAAAAAAAATGGGTAAGTAGTCTTCATTAAAGTTAAAAACTTATGCTCTGCAAAAGACACTGTTAAAAGAATAAAAAGACAAGCCACAGTCTGGGAGAAAAATCTCTGCAAACACATATCTGATAAAGGACTTGTATCTAAAATATACACAGAATTTTTAAAACTTAACAATAAAAAGCAGGCAAAAGATCTGAACAGACACTTCACCAAAGAAGATATACAGATGGCAAATAAGCATATAAAAAGATGCGCAACATCATATGTCACTAGGGAATTGCAAATTAAAACAACAATGAGATACCACTACATACCGACCAGAATGGCTAAAATCCAAAACACTAACAATAAATGCTGGTGAGGATGTGGAACAATAGAAACTCCCATTTGCTGCTAGAGGGAATACAAAATGGTATAGCCACTTTGGAAAACAGTTTAGCAGTTTCTTACACAACTAAACATATCCTTACCATACAATCCAGCAATTTCACTCCTAGGTATTTACCCAAATGATCTGAAAACTTATGTCCATATAAAAACCTGTACATAAATGTTTATAGCACCTTTATTCACAATTGCCAAAACTTGGAAGCAACCAAAATGTCATTCAATAGGAGAATGGAAAAACAACCAGTGGTACATCTATACAATGAAATATCATTCTGTGATAAGAAGAAATGATCTATCAAGCCAAGAAAAGACGTGGAGGAACCTCAAGTGCATATTTCTAAGTGAAAGGAGCCAGTGTGAAAAGGCTACATGCAGTCTAAATCCAACCATATGACATTCGGGAAAAAGCAAAACTGTAGAGACAGTAAAAAGATCAGTGGCTGCCAGGGATTCAGGGACTGGGGGTAAAGATGACTATGTGGAGCCCAGAGGATTTTTTTTAGAGCTGTGAAGCAATTAAATCTAGACAAAAAGCAATTAATCTAGACAAAAGTGATAGTAGCATGACAAATGTGGAAGGAGACTTTTGCAAAGTCTCAAACTAACAACTAGCACTTTGCTATTCAAAGGGTGGTTCAAGAACCCCAGTCTTCCACATCATCTAGGAGCTTATAAGAAATGCACAAGCTTGAGCCCCATCCTGTCTTTGTTGAATCATAATCTGAAACTTAACAAGATTCCCAGGTGGTTTGTATGCACATCAAAGTTTGAGAGTCACAGATTACACAAGGAACGTTTGCAACTTAGTAAGAAAAAGACAGGAAGGCCAGGCATGGTGATTCATACCCATAACCCCGGCATTTTAGGAGGCCACGCTGGGAGGATTGCTTGAGCCCAGGAATTGGAGACCAGCCTGGGCAACACAGGGAGACCCCATCTCTATTAAAAAGTTTTTTTTACTCAGTCAGGCAAGGTGGCACATGCCTATAGTCCCAGCTACTCAGGAGGCTGAGATGGGAAGTCATTTGAATTTGGGAGGATTGCTTGAGGCCCAGAGGTAGGCTTCAGTGGACCATGATTGTGCCACTGTACTCCAGCCTAGGTGACAGAGCAAGACCTCATCTCAAAAAACAAGAACAAAACCCAAAGACAGGAAGCCAAATAGGAAACTACACAAAGAGCTTAAATTGCAATTCAAAGCACTGGAAACCTGAATGGATACCAAATATATAAAGAGATACTTAAATATATTAGAAATCAGGAAAATTCAAATTAAAATAGTAAAATGCCACTTTACACCTTATCAGTTTGGCAAAATTCTGAATGTTGGACATATCAACAGAGTGACAAATAAACAAGAATTCTCACGTACTGCTGATAGAGGCATAAACTGGTCGAGTCATTCTGGAGAGTAACTGGCAGTCAAATTAAGTACACATCCATCCTATGACCCAACAATCTACACCTGGGAAAATAACCCCAAAGTGACCTTTGCACAAGTCCCTAAGGTTGTGCAATAAGGCTGTTTACCGCCATACTGATTATTATGACTTGACTAGGGCACCAAGTCAACCTCAAAGTTTATCAGTAGAGAATGAATCTGTAAACTGTGGTGGATGCATACCATGCACCATGATCTAGCAGTGGGAAGCAATGAACTGGATCCAGGAACGGCAACACAGATGGATCTTTAAAAGACAGCACTGAGTGAGTTACATGAAACAGAACAAGGTCTAGTGCATAACACCATTTATGTAACTTAAAAAGAAATTAACACACAAATTAACTCTATTTGTTTTACAAGGAAATGTGAATCCAAAGATACATATCCAACTCATCACAGACTGGCTCAGAAGGTAGGAAAAAGTGGGGAGAGGCAGTGGGAAATAAGGGTAAAGGGAATAAGTAAATACAGACATTCATAAATATACAGACGTAAAAACAAAAGATCAGCTTTCCATGGCCCAACAATGAAAATGTACTTTGAAATGAAGATTAGGATTAATCAACCCTTTCCATTTGAGATTCTCCAAAATAAATAAATAAATAAATAAATAAATAAATAAATAAAAGAAAAGAAGTACAGAACAAATCAATCATGGCAATCTCTCTGCCACATGAGATTCCTGGTTTCAAAAACATCTGTCTTTCAGAGCTCTGTGCCTTACAGAGACCTTTCCCGTCTAAGCAAATTGAGACTCTCGACGAGGAGGTGGAAGAGGTCTAAGACAGATGTTTGAAACACTCATCCCCCCGTCAGTCATTTCCAGGTGACTCACAGCTGCATCACTCTCCCTGTCAGTTAGAAGTCACTTGTTCCCAGAGATGTGTCATAGCCCAACAATAGAAAATACATGAGAAAATAAATATTATTAAAGCTAGTGATACTTTTCACCTGGCATCCTAAGGGAGTCAAGGATCTTCTGCTAATAAATGTTAACATAAAAAGAAAGCTGTCCCTTCAAATGCTCAAGCTAATTTTAATCATTTTGCATATAAGTCTTTATTAAAATGTATCACATATTTCTGTGACTTCTGTAACAGAGAATACTGGGGGAAAGCATCATCTTCTTTTTCCATGACTTGAGCATTTCAAAATTTTGAACATCCATTATTTTACCTTCTGTTTTTCCGATATTCTGTCACCTCTCCATGTCCAGTTGCCACTTCTGTTGTAACTGTAGCTACTTCTAAAAATAACCCAACTGTGTCCCTTTCTACCTGGTGGTCTCTGTCTGGGCTGGGAAAACAGACTCTCGGTGGTGTTAAGGACTGGAAGTTTAATAAAAGTGATAGGGTTCTGAGTGAGAAACTAAAAAGTAAAATGCATGGCTTTAGACCAGAGTCTTTTGATAGCTACTTCAGATGGCTGAGGGACGCTTTCCTCCTGGATTCTACAGGCTGTGTTACAGAGAGGAAGACTGCACAATACTGATGCCTAGGTATAATAGATACACAGGCTGTTCCCAGCACCCTGGTTTTCTGCCTTCAGATGGATGAAGCCATAATTAAATTTGTCTCTGGAGATACGCAACCTGGAATTTGCAGCAAGATAAAAACATTGCTTTTGTTTTAGGATATGAAGTTTCTGCTGTTGGAATTTTTAACTAGTTCATCAATCAGGAATAACCAAAGTAACATAGTTTTCTAAATATATCATATTGATGTGTGCATTCATTAGAAATGGGCTCTCCCCCATCACAGCACTGTCCTGAGATCTTCCCAACTAAAAAACAAACTCCTCATGGGCAAGACTAAATCTTACTTTTTATTGACTGACATACAGTAAATATTTAGTGAATAAAATCATGAATGAATGAATATATCTGAGATGAGTGGGATTGGGTTTTTTTCTAATAGTTTTTGGAGTACAGGTGGCTTTTGGTTACATGGATAAGTTACTTAGTTGTGATTTCTGAGATTTTAGTGTACCCATCACCCAGCAGTGTATACATGGTACCCAATATGTAGCCTTTTATCCATCCCCCAAATCTTCCCCCACACTGAGACCCCAAAGTTCATTAATATCACTCTTATGCCTTTGAGTCCTCATAGCTTAGCTCCCACTGATAAGTGAGAACATACGATATTTGATTTTCCATTCCTGAGTTACTTCATTTAGAATAATGACCTCCAGCTTCATCCAAGATGCTGCAAAAGGCATTTTTTTGTTTGTTTGTTTCTTTTTATGGCTGAGTAGAATTCCATGGTGTACATATACCACATTTTCTTTATCCACTCGTTGGTCATTGGGCACTTAGGTGGGTTCCATAT